CAGACTTACTTGAATCAAACGATCCCGCTGAGCAATTTCAGCCTTCAAATTGTTCTGCGTAGCTGTCATCGCTTCAATCGTCCGTTTTAAAAGTTTGACTTCCTAGAGTGCCAAGCATTCAATGTAATAAAGATATCTCAGGAAATGACATTCAACATACGCTGGTGAGATCGCGACATTCTCTATTAGACTGTTGCAAGAGAACTTCCTTCTCTTCTAATTCGTCATTTAGCAGATCCACCTAAACTGTGATGTGGAAATGGTCAATTATTGGAGCAACAACAAAAAACGAACAGCAAATCTTGCCTCATATAACAGCGCAGATTTTTCGTTGTCCAGCTGAGAGTAGAGGAACATTGCTCGCTGAAACCGATCCTCCAATTCCATAACTTTATCCTGAACAAAAAAACGAATTTTTCTGCAAAACACTGACGAATCTAAAATATAAAATTACGGATAATAGAACAGAACCGCTGACAGTCACCTCTTGCTACTTAAATAGGGTAGACAAATTCACGTGTAATAATTCAATCTCCGTGCACGATGTTAACTAGCAGCAATCGAAGCAAACTCTCAACCACACAAGACACAGAGAAATCTAACAACCATCTCCAAGACATCCAAAATGGGACACGGACGCTGTCTGTGAGCATCCATCATCGCGATCTACTACGATGTGATGTGAACTATTGTGATTTATAATGCTAATTCAACTGGTTTCGAGAAGAGGATGGTAGGAGTAAAAATAACTTTCTATAAATTTTCAATCCACATGAGCCCTTTTCCACCCACAGCAATGCATAGTGTTCCCCAAATTTTCCAATGTTTGTGATCACCACTAGTAGAGAAAGAGACATAGTAATATCACAGCCTTATCCAACTTTTTCGAACTAAGAGAACTTCTCAACTATCATGTTTTTCTTCAACACTATTTCCTCGTTCCACTTAACTACGATACAGAGCCTGTGTGTATAGTCTCGGTCTAGAACCATTGGTAAATACAAAATTCCGCAAAGCAGGAGAGGCACTTTGATTTTTAAGGTATCTCATGGCTACTCGTGCTTCCAGTAAAAAATTTCCAAAATCACGTTCCCTGCTCTAAGAAGAGAAAATGTCAGGACATAAAGGAGAGAGTATGCAAAAGGATTACATGGGAAAACTTTTAGGAATGTAATCAATCACAGAAATTCCCGATTCAAGATGTCGTCAATTCCAACGCTCCTCTTTTAGAAAGTCGCTGCATTAGTTAGCGAGAAATGTAGGTGTTTTAAGTA